GGGTAGACAGGTATGGCCACCGGTACGGTATTTAAAACACTGGTATGTAGTAATGAATGAAGAGAGAATGAGAATATGGACACCTTAGTCCCCTTTTATAGGGGGAGTACATTTTGGGCTCAAGTTGGGCATGACCCATATCATTATGCTATATGTCTTAGTCCATACGAGGGCTTATCTTCCAATATGTATTCGTTTTATCCCTTAACCCGGTCTAGTATAATATCCTATATCATCCAGTACCCCCCCACTTTGGTCGAGTAAGCATGACTCGATCCAAGAGTGAAATGTCTCTTTGAGACGTTTCCGTCAACCTGCCACTGATGTTATAATTTCAATAAGTTCTCGATCATCAAATAATCATAAAACTTCCCAATGAGCACCGGGAGACTGTAATGGGTCGAAAATCGAATGACCATCCACTGAGATAAATAATTGAAGGTTCGACAGAGGTCGAAAAACTGAAAGCCAAAAGCCGAATGACAACTAAGGTCGAAAACTGAAGCCAAGAACCGAATGACAGCTGAGGTTGAAAACTAAGGACCGAGATACCACTTAGGTCGAAAACCGAGAATCGAGAGACCACTGAAGTCGAAAACCGAAAAACGAGTAATCGCCGATGAGGTCGAAAGTCGAGAATCAAGAGACAGCTGAGGTCGAAAACCGAGAATCGAGAAACCACTGAGGTCGAAGACCAAGTAACCGCTGATGAGGTCGAAAACCTAAAAGCGAGAGACCACTGAGGTCGAAAACCAAGTAGTCGCCGATGAAGTCGAAAGTCGAGAATCGAGAGACCGTTGAGGTCGAAAATTGATAATCGGGAAACCACTGAGGTCGAAAACCAAGTAACCGCCGACGAGGTCGAAAACTGAAAAATGAGAGACCACTGAGGTCGAAAACCAAGTAATCACCGATGAAGTCGAAAGTCGAGAATCGAGAGACCGCTGATGAGGTCGAAAACCAAAAAATGAGAGACCACTGAGGTTGAATACCAAGTAATCGCCTATAAAGTCAAAACTCGAGAATCGAGAGACCGCTGAGGTCGAAAATTGAGAATCGAAAAACCACTGAGGTCAAAAACCAATAATCGCCGACGAAGTCGAAAGTCGAGAATCGAGAGACCGCTGAGGTCGAAAACTGAGAATCGAGAAACCAATGAGGTCGAAAACCAAGTAATTGCCGATGAAGTCGAAAGTCAAGAATCGAGAGACCACTAAGATAAAAAAACCGAATGACCATTGAGGCCGAAAACTGAAAATCGAGTGACCGCCGATGAGGTCGAAAAACAAGAACTGAATGACCACTCTTTAAAATCTTGAATTTGAAAATTTGAACTTATGTCTGTTGTGTTTCGATTACCATGTTCGAGCTCTCTTAGACCACCTCGTCCTATCACCCCTCAGTTCAAAATTAAAATCCAACTATGCTATCTATCCTCTCGGAAACTAAATGTCCTGACGCCATCATCATCTCCAAAGACTGAATTCGATAAGAACAAAATCAAATGAATATCATCAACCTGCCCTCGAGATATGCTAATAAAAATCCCTGAATAGCTCGAAATGAACTTTCTCGACCTGCCGCTAAGGTCGAAAAATAAATTCGACAAAACCAAAATCAAATGAAGATAATCGACCTGCCACTTGAACCAAAAGCACCAATACAACATAACCAAATCAAATAAAACCATAAACCTGCTCGAGTTATCCCTAGTAAACTCCATCGACCTGTCATTTGGATCAAAAGCACAAACACAACAGAACCAAACCAAATAAATCTGTCAATCTGCACGAGCTTTCCATAATAAACTTCATCGACCTGCCACTGGGACTAAAAGCACCAATACAATATAATCAAACCAAGTAAAACCATAAACCTGCCCGAGTTATCTCTAGTAAACTCAATCGACCTGTCATTGGGGTTAAAAGCAAAAAAACCACAAAACCAAATCTAATAAAACCATTAACCTGCTCGAGCTATCCGTAATGAGCTTGATCGACCTGTCACTGGAGCTAAAAGCACAAATACCACAAAACCAAATCCAATAAACCATTAACCTTCTCGAGTTATCCATAACGAGCATGATTGACCTGCCACTGAGGTCAAAAGCACAAATACCACAAAACCAAATCAAATAAATATCATTAACCTGCTCGAGCTATCTGTAAAGAGCTTGATCGACTGCCATTGAGGTTAAAAGCACCAATACCATAAAACCAAAATCAAATAAAACCATTAACCTGCTCGAGCTATCCGTAACGAGTTTGATCGACCTGCCACTGAGGTCAAAAGCACCAATACCACAAAACCAAAATCGAATAAAACCATTGACCTGCTCGAGCTATCCGTAACGAGCTTGATCGACCTACCACTAATGTCAAAAGCACAAATACCACAAAACCAAATCAAATAAATATCATTAACCTGCTCGAGCTATCTGTAACGAACTTGATCGACCTTCCATTGAGGTTAAAAGCACCAATACCATAAAACCAAAATCAAATAAAACCATTAACCTGCTCGAGCTTTCCGTAATGAGCTTGATCGACCTGTCACTGGGTTAAAAGCACAAATACCACAAAACCAAATCCAATAAAACCATTAACCTGCTCGAGCTATCCGTAATGAGCTTGATTGACATGTCACTGGGGTTAAAAGCACAAATACCACAAACCAAATCCAATAAAACCATTAATCTGCTCGAGCTATCTGTAACGAGCTTGATCGACTTGCCACGGAGGTCAAAAGCACAAGTACCACAAAACCAAATCAAATAAATATCATTAACCTGCTCGAGCTATCTGTAACAAGCTTTATCGACCTACGATTGAGGTTAAAAGCACCAATACCATAAAACCAAAATCAAATAAAATAATTAACCTGCTCGAGCTATCCGTAACGAGTTTGATCGACCTGCCACTGAGGTCAAAAGCACCAATACCACAAAACCAAAATCGAATATAACTATTGACCTGCTTGAGCTATCCGTAACGAGTTTGATTGACCTGCCACTGAGGTAAAAATCACAAGTACCACAAAACCAAATTAAATAAATCCATTAACCTGCTTTAGCTATCCGTAATGAGCTTGATCGACCTGCCACTAAGGTTAGGGACCAATATACAATAATATCAAACCAAATAGAACCAAGAAGAAATCATCGACCTGCCTCCGAGGTCTCCAAAACGCTCCATGTCTTCACGACCCAACACTAGGATCGACCACTTGCCCACCCCTATCGCACGATGTTCCTAAAACTAGTGGATTTGGTTTTGACACTTGCTCACCCCTTGCGCGGGATGTTCCGAAAACGAGCTACCACTCGCCCACCCCTTGTGCGGGATTTTCTGAAAACGAGGGACTTTTTTCTTCACACTTGCCCACCCAGGGGATGTTCCAAAAACATGGTGGTCGTCCATCATGAAGGCGTGGACTTTTTCGACCACCTGCCCACCCCAAGGAGTGTTTCGAAAGCAAGCGACCACTCGTCCACCCCTATCGCGGGATCATGAATGTTCTGAAAATGAGGGACTTTGGTC